TCAACAATCGACAGAAGAGGTGAAATGACAATGACCAAGGGACTTGAAGAGAATCCGTAGCCTTTAGAGCTCAAGAATTTAAACACTCGAGGCAGCAGTTCAAAGATTAAGCTCTTTCCAAACCCCGTCGGTAACTGTTCGAAAACATCTGTCTTTATTTGTGGCGGTAAATTTGAGATCGAAGTAGGTGGTTCGCTCGTTACCTCATGCCACCATGCTGGTGGAAGTAAACAATAGATATATCATTAGCTCCTTTTGTTCCTCTACTAGCATTTGAATTTGACCCGCACACGTCAACGGTGAGTGACAAACGAGCCTCGGTCTTCCCAGGGAAGACTTCTTTATATAGCGCGCCTTCGTGTTTAAGTAGCCTATGTACAGCCCCCCTACCCCCTAAAGATAATCGGGAAGGGCCCCTTTCCCAATTTTCTTTTAGAAGGCAGGGAGGGGCTGTTCACAGGCTTCCGCAAAGGAAAGATGTTAACTGTAAGCCGTAAAATGACCACCTTTTTAACCGTTATCCGTAAAAGCCATCACCCCATTGAGATCCTCAGATAACAGCACGATATGCGTCTTTTTATTGTCTTACAACCGGACTTCTTGGATCTCGGTTCTTTTAAGCGACCATTCCTAATTCTTCTTGGAATAATTCCAGAATCTCATATCCTGATCATATTTACGATCCGAAATCTTGCACCCCTAAACGTTTTGACGCATTGAGCGGCGAAGCTGGGCAAAAGAGCGACGAAGACGCGAGAGGTGTGGAACGGAAAATAGTGGGAGAAACTGCTACTCAGATGACGTAAAACCGGAGGTAAAACGGAAATGCACTTTTGCCCTTTTAACCCCCATTGCGTGTTTGTTTTTAGTTTTGATCATGTGATCCAACAGTTGGCACAGACAAAAACTCGATTGTTTCGAGTCGAGGGAAAAGTTTGGCTGTACTTCTTTCGTTGTCAAGTCACACTCAGTATGGATGATATAGAAAATTTAAGAGATACGCTGTTGAAGCAACGCAAATGGGTACCGAAATGAAGGTAGGAGTTTAAATCTTATATTTAATCTACTTCAAGTGCTACTGCACGCGACTTTTGTCTTAAACAAAGGCAATTGATTCTGGTGCTCTAAGCCTCGAAGGCTCATGTTGAATTAGAACGATTTCTGAGCCCCATGCCCTCGACCGACTAGCACTAAGCACAACTATTAGTCTAACTCTTGGTAGTTCCGTAGTTCATGATAACAAGTCTATGGAATCTTCTTAAAAATATATAGGTTAGGACTAACTGATGGTGACACACGTTTTTAACCGTCTCTTCCATGATGATAAATAAGATATCAAAGTCTTCTTTTAAATCCGTGCCCGGCTTGCTGCAGAAGTCAGCTGCACGGCTGGCTCACTTTCTGTGAAACATCTCTTTGCCTGGGTGCAAAAGAAAACGCATAATTATCAACCACTCTTAAAGAGTCAACGAACCTTTTAACTCTTCAGTTCCTATTTAAGATTGTGTGCGTTGTATTCAACTTAATTAGTCGTATTTCTAGGTTAATTTTCGAACAGAACTCTATTTTGTGCCTTGACATGCCTGTTCGACGGTTACTTTCTCTTTACTCTCAATTCTACCTATGTACATTGAAGGAGCAAGGCAGAACTATTGCTCACCCGGCAAATACGAAATCATCGACCATTTCTGTGAATTTGACGGTTCCACACCACACTGAAATTTGCAAGTGCAGATCTGCATTCTCGTAGAATGTGCGAACTCAACCAACATTAATTGTACATTATCAAGAGCCTACACACTTAAGTAGTCTGGAGATGTTATTGAAACTGCTCAACCTTTCCAGCTCTCCTGCAGCAGTTGTTATTTCGAACCTGAAATTAGAATTTAATAATTTCTTTTTCTTGCCATGGACAGAAATATCACCGAAGCATTCAGAGCCCGAGGACAGCATTCGCACTTATTAATCTGTGTTGGGCTTCATATGTAGCGACCCACGAATGGTAGTAATAGGAGGAATAGTGTCCCCCTATTACCACTGCTGATTACCTGCCTAACGGGTCCCCCTTCATATTTAAATGTAGTTAATTATTGGTGAAAAACAATAAACCCAAAATCACATTTGCTCGCAATGTACATTGACTGACATTATTTACATACGGCTACAAATTGCTGCAATATTTTGGTTACTAATAATCAGACAGAGGAATCCTCAACGGAAAGGGTGCAAATTTTGGAACATACAATAATCATCTGTCATAAAAATTGGTACTCTTCCTCGACATCGAGCAAAGTTATTGAACTTTGCTAAGTGCTTGCGCCACTGATTCTTCTGTCAGCTTCGAGATGCAGAGAGCTACGCTTTGCACTTGAACTCAAAGATGAACAATATGGGACTCTTAGGAATACTGACTCTCTCTCAGAAAAGGGGAATATAACCCTTTTCTAGAAGGAGAAGACTAATCATTTGCCTTGTTTCAGAGTCAGAGAGGCAAATAGTATTTCACGACGAGCACTTCATTGATCCGTATCCTCCATTTACATGAGGACTCTTTTCCTCCTTCTATTGCGCGAATTTTTCGCACTGAGATGTGCATACTTTGATAAATACAAAATATCGGTAATTAAAATTATCACGATACTCTAGAAAACGTAACTCCAGCTCACAAAAGTCACGAAGTTCATGAGAATTGACTGTTTCCACAGCATTCATTTATTTATGAGTAAACAAAACGACTTTGCTTTGAGCTCTATCATAATTTAAACGATGACTTGAATTTACTTCCATCACAGTGGTCATGAACAATACCTGTATTGTAACAGTCGTTATGGATATCATATGGGTCTGAGTTAAAGATATATCTCACATGGAATGAAAAAGTCTTTCAGTTATTCGTTTAGATCATGCAAACTGTTGCCATTCTAGATCTAATCAAACTTAAGCGTCATTTTTTTGAAGTGAAACAACCCCTTTAATTGGGATGTCACAACTATGGATCAGCAGGCCGCGGAACCTCCGGAACCAGCAAAACCTCCAGAATCTGCGGAAGCCATAATATTTTCTAAATGAAATTAAAAAAAACCCTCGATACTGATCGAAATTTCGTTTTCGGGTATAAAGAAGATTAAATTTTAAAGAGAAATATTAAATTTTAAAGAGAAATAAAGAGAACGCCCTTGACGTTCAACTAGAAATAATTAACTTAAATTGTGGCGACATTCACCGCACAAGGATGTTAGTAGTATGAACCATAATTTGAAAGCTCTAACGGTTTGGGTTCTGCGATGTCCGAATAGCACCCATTAGAAGGCTCTGAGCAAACTTTTAGGATGGAATTGGCGGCCTTTTATTCCATTTCATTGTACATGACCCTCGAATGAGTAACATTAACATAAAGTAACATCACCATCCGTGAATCCTGTGGCATTTTTACTTGCAGCGTTTTGCCTTCAGTGGATTCGTTAGGTTGGCGTTACTCACAGACGTGCATGCAAAGCAGGCAAAGGAGATGAACCAAAACCTAGCTAAATCAGTGGCCCATGAAATTCACACGATGTGAAGGAACAACCACTTGAGTGGGGGTAATTTTTCTTTATTCAAAACTGAGGGGGGCTTTGGGATTTTCGGTTTTGCGGTTTTGACTGTTTTTTGGATCGGTTTTTCGGTTTTTGGGCCAAAAAGGTTCGGTTTTTCGGTTTTGATATTCAGAGCGGTTTGCGGATTTTACGTGTTCTTGCATTCGGTTTTCAGTTTTCAGTTTTCACGAAAACTCTAATGCGGTTTTCGATTTTTCCTTTTCGACCCCTTTAAAGATGAAAATGTAGCGGTTTTGTCAGGTTTGCATGCGGTTTTCGGTTTTGCTGCCTTTTTTCGTCGGTTTTTCGGTTTTGGAGGCTTTTTCTGCGGTTTCCCAGAGACCCCAATGCCCCCCTCAAAGCTAGCTCAGTTGTTTTGAGGTTGAAAGCGCGACTGTTCACTCTAATGCAAATTCTTATATTTCGCCCCTTGCGCGACGTGAACTTCTATGCATACTCGCGGAGGCTCAATGTGTGAGCTTGAGCTACCTGTGGTTCGAAAAAAAAAATGTTTCTCTTCTATCGTAATCTTCTTTATGCCCGAAAACGAAAATTTGAGCAGTTTTAAAGCTTTTTCGGTTTTTATCCATTTCATTTATTATTTTTCCAAAAGATTAATGGTCCGCTGGTTTCGCTGGTTCATGAGGTTGCGGAGTGTGCTGATCCAGTTTAGTGCACATCAGTTGCTATTGTTGGTCCTTGCCGATTGCATATTCAAAATAATCAATTTAAAGAGACAATGTCGTGATATATCGAATGATTGTTACAATCATAGACAGTTGCCTTCAAATCACAAGACAATCGAGTGTGAAGGTGGACAAACCCAGAAAGGAACGAGGATGACCAAAGACCGAAACGAGCTTTTAAAATTTCCTGTCTGCTGCAAATTGTCTTGGGTAGGTCCACATCAGCTGTATAAGCCGCCACTACTGACCAGCATTACTAAGTAATTCATGTATGTATGTATGTATGTATGCATGCATGCATGCATGCATGTAACATTGGACTAGCAACGGATTCAAATAGCTTCCGTCTTGGATTACAGACTCGCTGAAGGAATTATTAGAGTAAAGAAGGCATTAGCTCGAGCAAATTGCAACTGGCTTGAAGAACTATGGCGTTCGAACCCCGAATCTGATTACATGGTTATCTTAGATCAGCACTGAATATTACGTCATGCCAGTTAAAGCCATATTTACGAAATTGTTTATGCATCTAGAGACATGGGCATAAAATAGCTTATCAAGGAAATTTAAGCAACTACCTAAATGCTCAGTTTTAATCATAAAAATTACAAAATATATAACGAAAATAAAGCCAGTAATTTAACAGATTGGTTTGGGTTATCAATTTGAAAAATAAATTAGATAAATAGCAAATGATAGGCCAACAATGAAAAGGTTAAATTTGGTTATGAATTGAAAACCACTATATAGGTAAAAACTTTAAGCCTATAAGTAAAGGCTAAATTAAGGATTAAAATTAACAAATGGTAAACACCACAGCGTACACTATTGAGTTATGGATGCACTTGGGAGGTTGCTAAGCACGAAAGAAGCGTAAGAGTCGCTCGAGGCGATAGCCGAGAGCGACTCTAGCTTCTTGAGTGCTTAGCAAACCTCCCAAGTGCATCCATAACTCAATAGTGTACGCTGTGGTGTTTACCATTTGTTTTATAACATAACATTAACACATTGTAGCTAAAGAGTTCCCTTTTATTTAACAAATCTTACGTGACCAGAAAAAAACAAGCGCGCGCGAAAAAATAGTCTTTGCATTTGCTCACGTCAGCAACGTACACCCATGGGCAAATGGGGGACGCTAAATTGACCAATCAGAGCGCGCGCTTTACTTTGGTTATGTTATAATACATAATAGGAGCCATTAATTAGAAGCACAGTTGCCCTCACAACCTCTTATCGTCAACCGCTCAATGAATTAATGATTGACTAGGTAAAGGAATCGATGGATCAATGAGTTAATGAATATTCTAGCATATGATTGAGTGTTTGATCATCCTTGAGTTTAATCTGCATGTATCGCAAACGTATCGGCTCTGTTATCTCAAACCCATATTTTAATGGAAATACAAGAACTATTTAACTGCCCGATTCATGGCCCCTGCGTGAAGCGACGATATTGCTGTTTCTACCAGATATCATATTCTGCAGAGTCACAGGAAAATCGTGTCTCCTTAGTGGTCAAAGGAGTACGGCGAAAGGAACAAGTTGATTCAGAAAAGGTCATAATCAGGGCTGCACAGCGCATATGTTACCTTGAGCAACATCATCGAGGAAGGTCACGAATGGAAGAGAGTACTGTACAAACATTTAAATCATTTCCAGAGAGCATTCAGTGATATACACAGGGAAACCTTATATAATTTTCTCCGGACATAGTTTCTGTGACATAAAGTATTTCTATACTGGCTTACGTTGCTCAGCGAGATGCTCTGAGCTTCC